CGATCAAATAGAATGTCAAATAAAATTCAATTTGGACAATACATACATTATCACATAAGCCAGTAAATATTTTATAGCTTTTCAAAAAGAAGAAAGAATTGAAGGTAAATTATCATGTTCAATATTTGATAATTTAAATGTTGAAGATATAAAAATTAAAATTGGTACTAAAACATTTCCAAATAAAGATTATATTGGTGAAGATTTAATTCATGGATTTTATAATTTTACAAGTATTGGACATAAAAATATAAAAACTGATAAAGGTACTTGTATTAATTATCAAAATTATAAAAATTTATATCCAATTTATCATTTTGATTTATCAGCTAAAGAAACTGATGTATTTGAAAACAGAACTGATGTTACAATATTATTAGATTATAAATTGAAAGAAAGTGTTGATCATAGAATTTATTGTTTAATTATTGGTGAAAAAGAAGCAAAGATTGAAATAATGAATGAAAAAGTTAAAGTCATTCCATAATATGATTATTGATTTGATATTCATAATTGATTACATTTCAGTAAACTGAAGACATCTTAATTACAATCTTATACAAATCAAACTATAATTAAACAGCATCAAATCAATAGCTTCTCTTCTAATACTAATTTAACTATGATAGATCATAATTACTGATAACATTTCAGTAGACTGAAGACTTATCTTGGTTAAAATCTGATACCAATTCAACTATGATAGATCATAATTACTGATAACATTTCAGTAGACTGAAGACTTATCTTGGTTAAAATCTAATACCAATTCAACTTTGATAGATCTCAAGTATCAAAACTAATATCAAAGTAAAATTACCGATGGGGAAAATACTGAATTGTTTGATTGAAAAACACTTCATAGATAAACGATAAACCCTTCCAGTATATATTGAACAGAAAAAGATTCGTTTCAATCAGTTTAATACAAGTTGTCATTATGGATCAATTTTATCCCAAAACAGTTAAACCTAGTGCTTCTCCAAAAGCTAAAGCTAGTACAACATCAAAAACTTTACCTAGTGCTACTCAAAAGAAAGTTGATGATTACTTTGAAAAGAGTGTTCTTTCACCAGTTAGTTCAGTAGGTTCTGTTGGTATTTCAACTCTAGCTATTGATACAGAGAATCATAGCGTTCCCTTGGATAAAATCGATGAAGTTACATATCATGTGGATGAACCTGTTGATAATGCTACAGATTTGGCTTCTCCATCCAAACATAATAATATACCTGGTATGATCCTATGAATTAACGTTATATTACCAATATTATAATAATCATGATATTTTTTATTACTTTCTCGTTGCAGATGATCAAGATGAAAAAATTGAGTTGAACAACTTTGTAAAGAGGAATTTACATAAGTTTTTCAACGAGGTGATTTTTTATTGCAAACCGATAGCAAGAAATGGGATGCGAAGTAAAATTTTAAGTCTTTGTGATCAAAATTTTACTAACTTTTCTGGATTCGATGGTTATGATGAATTGTTGGAACATGATTATGATGATGATGATGTTAGATCACTTTGTTCAGAACCTGCAAAGAAAAAGAAAAAAGAACTTACTATTGATGAAATTATGAATATTTTCAAGTCATCATTATCAAATGATTTATTTGAAAAATTGGTGGTTTCTCCTGTTAAAATACCTGATGATACATTGATAAAAAGTGTTGATGATGGCTTTCTGAAATTAAAAGAGCTTATTGGATCAATTGGTAAAAATAATCGAATTTCAATTCATCTAGCAGAAAGAACCGGTTTTGTTTTATATCAGATAAATTCGTTTGTCAATAATAATTCAGAGAAATTCAAAGATGGTTTGGAAAAATCTGGGTTAAATTTACGACCAACACAGGCTTACTTTTATATAAAATTGTTCAAACTTATAAGATTCTATCCGAAATTCTTATGCTGTACTTGTCCTATTTCAGAATTCCAAAAATATATTGTTAAAGTTGAAAAATACTTATCTGCTAATAAAGCAGCTCATAACTTTTGGAAAGAAGAATAAAATGAATCAATAAAACATGATTGAATTGAAAACTTGAAATATATCTTTTTATTGATTATGATTATATCAACTGATAACATTTCAGTAAACTGAAGACTTATCTTAACCAAAATCAAATATCAATTGGTCCATGATAGATTCTTAATAATTTAATTGATTAATTGTGGACAAAATTTTCTGGTAACATGTTATAAATCAGTGAATTAGAGTGTTAATATAAAATCAAAATTGAATTCAATTCCTTCTTCACAAGCATCTAATATATAAAAACCATATCTTTCATTATCTTTTCTAATTGATAAATTTATCATACTATGTTCTTCATCAACTATTGTATGTATATATTTAATATCTCTTAAGATAGTATACATTGAAGCTGGTAAATTACAAAGTTTATATTCTTTAGCTATATTATTCATAATTTTAACAGAACCAAATATACGCCATATTTGTGCAATTTCACGTTGTGCATTAATTTTAGATTGAACTCTTTTATCAGGATGATTGAAATTTCTTAATTCAATATCATCTTTATTACCAATTTTTTCTGTAATATATTTTTCGAAATATTCTTTATTTATTGCATCTCTTTCATGAATAGGATTTTTCAAATTCATTATTCTTTTACCTTCTGCATTATAATAATCATTATTTAACATTAAAACATTTTCTCTTAATAATTTGGTTATTTCATGCTTTTTATAATGATCAGTTTTAGTTTCATCTTTAAGTCTATCAAGTTCACCTTTTGTAACAACATCATTTATATTTTGTGATGCTGATATATTTATTAATCTTTTATTTTTAAAATTAAAATTACCATCATTTTCAATTTGAAATAAATTTAATTTTGATTGTAATGGATTAATTTCATTTTTTATCAATTTTTTAACTGTTTCTTCTGTTAAACTAGCAATCTTTTTCTTCTTTCCAAAACTTTTAGCTAAACTCATTTAAATATTAAATATTATTATTATTAAATGAGTCAAACAATAAGTGAAACAAAACCAAAATATATTTTAAATTTAAAAACTAGAGAGGCAATGGAAAAAATAAAAGAACAAACAAAAAATTATGTTAAAGATAGATTATCTTTTGATTCAAAAATAAGAGATGAAATTGTTAAAAGGTATAATGAAGCATTGAATGATGAAAATGATATTTATTATGAATTAGCAAATATAATTTTAAAAAACCACGTTAAAGCTAATAATTATGCAGAAACATTAAATTATCAAGAAAAACAGGACATGTTAGAAATTGATCATAATGAAATGATAATTTTAAATTTTTCCAATATTATTAATTATGATGCATTATGTAAACTAGATAAAGAAGTTGAATATTTAGAAGAAGAAAATAAGATTATCAAAAAAGAAAGAGATGATGCTTATAATGAAATTGTGAAAATAAATTCTGAAGAAAAAGCAAAAATAGAAAAATATGAAATTGAAAGAGAAAAAAAGTTAAAAGAAATATATGATAAAATTCAATCACAATCTGAAATATCGAAATCAAAATATGCTGGATTAATTCGTAAATGCAATCGTAAAAACTAAATTTGTCAGAAAATATTTCATTATCAAATGAAAATTATACCAAAAGAATTAATTGATTATGATGATAATTCTAGACTTTTTAAAATTTATGCTTCGGATGAAATAATATCAAAATATGAAAAAGATATAAGTAATATAAAATACTTAAATGATGATATTGAATTCATAAATAAATATACAATAATTGATAAAGTTTATATTTTTTTGAATATTTTATTTTATATAATTGGTACTGTTTATTACTATTACCCATCAAATTTTATTTGCTATATACTAACATTCATATTCTTAATAATATCATTGATAGTAATTTTCAAAATTATGAAATACCTGTTTTCTTAATATTCAAAATCTTATCATTCAATGTTATTGGATTGGGTGTTGAATTGTCTGATTCATCAATATTCGAGTCTCCACCTTTCACAAGTTTTCTACTTTTATCGACTTTAGTTGATTGATTATTGACTTGAGTTGATCGATTATCGACTTGATTTGAAGCTTCATTGCATTGTTTTCTATGGGTTTTTATACCTAAATAATTTAACCCCCTATTTAATGTATCTTTACTAATTTTATTATTTTTACAATATTCAGTTTTTGATAATTTTTGTACTAAAT